AAGTTAAATGTATGTAAGCTGCAAGTTACCTATAGTTTTTAAAGCAAACTGAAAGCTATTAAGTTTAGAATACAGTAGTACCTCGGGTTAAGTACTTAATTCGTTCCGGAGGTCTGTACTTAACCTGAAACTGTTCTTAACCTGAAGCACCACTTTAGCTAATGGGGCCTCCTGCCACTGCACCGCCGGAGCACAATTTCTGTTCTCATCCTGAAGCAAAGTTCTTAACCTGAAGCCTATTTCTGGGTTAGCAGAGTCTGTAACCTGAAGCGTATGTAACCCAAAGCATATGTAACCCGAGGTACCAATGTGATATTGAACTGAACTTAAAAATTTATTATTCACATAGAAACCAATACCAGGTAGCACACAGGATTGAGGTGTAATTTATACATTAATCACAACAGAAGATTGTTTCAAAGCATTTTGCTGATCATTGTGAGTTTCAAGGAGATGCTGAACCCCTGAAAGACCTCAACTTAGATTGGTAGGGATCACTAAAACTGCCTCCTTTCCACTTCTGCTGACTGATGCCTTCCATTAATTTCCACCAATGGACAGTCACCATTGGATGACACTGTTGACCTTTAAAGGGTAAGCTGTCTGAGCAGCAACAGGTTTGCCCTCAAGAACTGTAAATACTTTAGTCTTTGAACACGTCAGTGTCAGTTTTTATCAAGATTTACATCATTAGAGTAATTTGCACAAACGTGTAATATAGAATAGCAAGTTATTTTATGTATGGTGGCACATACAAGGCATAATTGCCTTTCACAGAATCACATAACTGTTGAGCCGAAAGGAACCCTAAGGGTCAACTAGTCCAGCCCCCTGCAATGCAGGAATCTCAACTAAATCATACATGACAGATAGCCACCTAGAGAATCACAGATGGGGGGAGGGGGAAACCAAGTTCGTTCCAAAGTCAATATGCTCCTGTGAATGTCATTTACAGAAATGCTCTACACATTGCATATACTCATGTGTAAATAATCAGAAAGCAAGTTGGGTTTATAAATAATCAAATTAAGGTTTAAATAGTTCTGCTGACTTGCCAGGGAAAGATTCTTTGACACAAAAGAAACAGTCATGTCTTTCAAATACTAATTTTAAAGTCTTACCTACATACTTGCAATAGGGAGGTTTAACAGGCAAGCCTCAAAATTTTCTAATAGTCATACCTCGGGTTGAAGTAGCTTCAGGATGAACATTTTTGGATTGCACTCCGCAGCGACCCAGAAGTAACGGCGCACGTTACTTCCGGGTTTCACCGCTCGCGCATGAGATCAAAATGAATCACGCGCGGAAGCGGCGAATCACGACCCGTGCACGCACGGGTTGAGTTCACTTCAGGATGCAAACGGGGCTCCAGAATGGATCCCGTTCGCATCCAGAGGTACCACTGCAATGTATTTTTAAAATAAAGTGGATGAACATGCACTACATCCAGACTTTGGTTGTGAAGTTCATAAATACCTACCTACTTCAAAGCCACCAAAATGGCTTCAGGTCCAGTTTGGGAAGCATGGTATCAGCATGTGGAACCTTAAAATACCCCTTTCCACATGCAACTACATGAATCCTTATGCATAGTGAGTGACCACCACACATGAAAACCTCCCCAGATTCCAACATGCTATAGTCATGTGCAAATTGCATTTACCCTGGAAATACTAAGGTATCACTTGTTACTATAGAAAGCTCATTAAAGTGCAACACCCATAACTAGTATAAGAGAAATGAAGCTGGAGCTGCAGGATAAATCTGTTGTTAAAGATTCCACAATTCATAAACATTTAGAATATAAAATGCCCAGAAGTAATAAGAAATGCAGACTACTGGTTCTTATGGCTATAAAAATGCTAGGCTAGGTAATGCAACTTAGATTACAATTAATAAGTTATCTCTTGTTAACTGTGGGAAGCAAACTCCAATTCAATTTCTTTCTCCCACAGCTCTACTAAGAAAAAGGTAAAAGATGTATTTCAAAAGAAAAAATAAGCAAACCCTCTATGATGATTGGTATGTATCCTTCACAAAAGCAGTCAGCAAGGAAGTACAAAATGGTGACAAGCTATTAAGTAATGAAAATCAAATGCAGGTTGGCAAAAAAAACAGAAACCGGGTGGGTCTGCAATAAGTAGAGCAATTTATTTAACTGAGAGAGCTCTGTTTCAAAAGATTACACAAGAGGATTTCTACAGCTGGATGCATGCTGGCTGTCACTTATTGTATCCAATATAATAGGATGTTTTGTAAGGTATAAGATGAGAACTGCTAAAAAAAACCCCACTAGTAATAAAACCACAGTTACTAAGACGGCCAGGTATAAACTCAAGAATGTGCTAATCATGGAATGAGAGACAAGAGGCATTGTTTAGGAGAAAGCCACAGACATAACTCCACAAAGATAAGCAGGAAGAGACAGATTATGTTCTAAGATTATTTAAGGATCAGTTACCCCTTGCCGCATTTTAGACTTCACCTAGTCTGATTATTAGAATATCAGTGCCTCATGCCTTCCCACATGCAAACTTGCATGTGGGAAAGCAATTCTAAAGTGATGGGAGGGGAAGACAAAAAGCCTCTAGGACTAGGTGATAACTATTTCTTAAGTGATTAAACTGAGGTAGAAATGCTGGGACCAATCACACTGAAAAATAGATAAATAAATGGAGTATGAGGGACAAAGAAGCAATTAGTAATGAAACATGAGGTGGCAGACAAAAAGATAGGGAAGGAAGAAGGGATTAAGGAGGCAAAAAGAAGAGTAAGATAATTAGAAAAGAAATGGGAAGTACAGTAATACAAAACACATGGTGTATGCACAGAGATGCAGCAGGAGTTGCCAGGGGGTAGGGGTGAAGGTGCGACTTTCTTACAAGTAAAAACTAGAGCTCAATTGCAGAGCCTGTGCCTTTCCTGCAGTTGCACTCAGGTCTGTGGCACCTCCAGTTTTAAAAAGCATCAGCTGATGGGAAACACATTTCTGTGCCAGAGAGCCTGGAGAGATGTCGCGTCAGAGCTAACAATACATATGAAATAGTCTAATATGGCATAAAGCAGCTTCCTATATTTCCTAGGACTAGACAGAAAAAGTAGTATTGTGACACCCTAGTGATGGTGGGGCACTACAGTTCCCACCATCCCAGACCATTGGAAAGGTTCACAACATCTAGAGGGCCAAACATGTGCCCTTACTCTACCTTACAAGCTAATAGAGTCGCTGTGGCATGAGCTTCAGTCCAAAAAAATCCGCATATGAACCTGTTAGCCCTTAGGGCGTCGTAAGGCTCTTTAAACACACGGACACGCTTGCCGTGAACAGACTTTTAGGGAACTGCCCAGGTGGGATCTCCTCCTCACAAAAGCCAAGAAGGCGCCAGGGAGGGGGAAGAGTTTCACGCAGCCCCCCATCCACCCGGAGCGCGCTCTCAGCAAAGGCAGACAGCGTGGCAGACGGGAAAGCCCTCAGGGGCGGCTCCGAGGAGGAGGAAAAAGACCGCGGAGGGGGGTGGGAGAGAGAAAAGAAAGGGAAGAAAGGCATTTGAGGGAAACGGAAAGCAGGGACCGGGGCGGGGAAAGGGAAGAATAAGAGACACCCCCCACCTCCGTGGGCTGAGGCGACCATCATGGCAAACTGCCCACCTGCCCGGAGTCCACCCCAAGCTAAATGGGCTGCACCGTTTGACGCTCCTTTGCAGCGGCATTCCCGGGTTTCCCTTTCGCGTTACGGTCACTGCACCACTGAATTTGGGCTCTGTCTCTGTGTGCGTATATGCGAGCCGCTCGCCCGTCCACTCACCCGTCTTTCCGCTTGGCCTTGTAGACGTGCCCGTAGGTGCCCCTGCCCACCTTGCAGCCCTCGTACTCGAAGAGGTCTTCCACGCGCTCGCGCTCCCCGGTCAGCTTCACCTTGAAGTCATAGTCCATCTTCATTCAGCGCCCGCACCCGCCGCCGCCGCCTCCTCAGACGACACCCGGCCGTGAGGAGCCCCGCCCGCCGCCGCCGCCACAGGCACCAGGGAGGAGGAGGAGAGGGAGAGGGTGAGGGAGAAGGAGGAGGCCCCGCCGCCGCGACGCGGACCATCCAGGTGAAGGAGGCGAGGGAGGGGGAGGGCGGCTGCCGCGTGCGCGGGGACCAGGCGCGAGCCGGAGCCGGTGCCTTGTGTGGGGAGGCGGCGGTTGCTGCTGTGGCGGCCGCTTCCCTCAGCCGCCTGAAGAACCCAACAGGCGAGTCGCTCGCGCGCGCACCACACACACACACAGAATAACACACAGCCGGTATCTCGCACCTCGGAATACGGCAGCCGCGCCTGACCACGCTGCTGCAAAACAAGAGCGTCGCAAAACCTACGCGCGCGCTCTCTCTCTCTCTCCTCCCCCCCCCACGTTCTCCGCCCCTTTCCTTTGGTATCTCTCTCGGTACTAGAAAGCGCACCACGTGGAATCCAACCGGCTCTCAGGCCACGCCCCCTCTTCGCACGTCTCCTTACCTCAGTTCCCTTCCCCCGGCATGCACCGCGCCTCGGCGGCCACCAGCCGAAAGGCTTGGGCAGGTGTAGCAAATAGAGACAGAAGTGGGACGGCCCCATAAGACGGCCAGCGCGATAAATGGGCATGTCGGGAGTTGTAGTCAGAGGGTCCCCGGATGTGGGCTTGGCGCGTGATGGGAATTAGAATCTTCGGGTCGTGCTTGGAACCCGGGTTTTGACGGCGGAGGCTGCAGCGTTGCATGCTGGGGGTTGTAGTCAGGGGGGTCACCGGATGTGGGCTTGGCGCGTGATAGGAATTAAAGTCCTCGGGGTTCGCGATTGATGCGCCATCTCCAAGGAAACGCGTTTTCGGAAGGAAGGAAGGAAAGGTTGGAGTTGGCTTTCGACGGGCGGCAAAAAGGAGATGCCTTGAAAGAGAACTACTAAATGCAGCACATATGAGACTACACCAGCAGGTGCAGCAACATTTTCCAAGGTTGACCTGACAGCCTTTATTTCATAGCGTTATTATGTCACGGGGTTGCTTCGTGTTGTTGAAATGCATATTGTTTTTAAACCGGAAGACGTAATGTGTGGAGTGGGGGAAGGCAGCAAAGCCCTCCCAGGGCTGCTCTGGGGCGGCGCAGAGCCGGTTGTGGCGAACCCGTGATCCAACTCTCTTCATCCCTGAGGCTGATGGGAGTTGGGTCCCTCGTAGCTGGAAGGCCCACCCTTGGCGTTGACGGAGGCAGAGCTTTATCCCTCCTAAACGTGGACAGGATAGTAATGGTGGACTCCTAGCTCCACCCAGAGACAGTTTAAGGCCACTGCCGACCTACTTTGCATGAGAAAGCAAGCGTTATAGCAAGACTGCATGAATGCAGTCTTCCCCTAAAAGTGGGGTGGAAAGTGAGAACTTTTGCATGATAATCTATGCTGCTCCACTGAGCTTCAGACCTGCTTCTCAGTCTGCAGCTGAATGTAGCTAAGTAGCAGGCCTTGAACCTTGTAGTGAACCCACCCATCAAAATGCCACTTAATAAAATGAATTTACTATACACAATAATTCAATATAGATCTTTTCATAATTGATTCTTGCATTTAGAAAAGTGTTACAGGGCTTTTCAGTAAGCATATCATTTCAACAGCCTACAATTGAGTCATTGTCCTTTATTATTTTAGTAGATTGGAACAGTGTTCAGATTAAATTTGAATCAATTTAACATATCACTGCAAATTCACCATTATTTGAAATCTGCCACCCTCTTTAGCCTATTTATATGAATTTTCCAAGCAAAGGGTGGTTTTGTGAAGTGGAGAGGGATAGCAACCAGTTTTATTTTTCTGCAGACTAAGTTTCTAGTAATTAATCCAATGTGAACCTGAGAGAATAAAATAACTGTATGCCCAAAATGGTTTCAACTATGCATTCTCTTCTAATGCCCTAATACTGTTTCACATGATCTATTACTGTATGAGTTTGGGGGAGAGGGAATTGTTTTGATTGTTTTGAAAAGAAGGTACAGTAATGGCTTTGTGAAAGCTGGTTGCAGAGCAAATTGAGTTTGATGAAAAAATAGTAATAGATTGTGAAGTGGAGGGGACAGTTGCTTAGACTAAAGCAGCATAATTGATTATATTCGAGAATATACGATTGTGGAATTAAAATCTTGATGCCCAAGTAAGATATTTTTTGTTTTGTGGAAACAAACTGTGAGGCAGGAGACTATGCATAATTCTATAAAATGACTATTACTGGAATTCACTGTCCAAGACCAGGAAGATGTGAACCAGGAAGAGTCTCACAATCGATATCTTTGCATGTTTATTGAAAAGTTAGTCCCACTGAGTTCAATGGGTCCTATACATTACATAGGTCCGCATAGTGTTGCTGTTCAGAGGTTGACATCAGTTGGAAGAAAATGAGAACTAGGAGCCTAAATCCACGGGGCATCATCCAACTAACTCATTCCATCAACACAAGCATTTCTGTTTGTGCAGCAGAACTCCCCCCCCTCCCCATCACATGTCTAGCACCATTCCCAAATTTGCTCCAGAGGGTTATGGAAACCCCCACAACATATTTGTGGGGCACATAGGGAGAAGAGGAGAAGTTCTGTTGCACAAGCAAATTTTCTTGCACTGATGAAACAAGTTAGTTGAATACCACCCACAGTTATTGACATCAGATTGAAGGACAGGTGAATAATGTATTTCAGTGAATTTCTATGTTCATCCACTATAAAGAGTGAATTTCCCTCCACTGTCCCCATAGTCTCCCATAGAACACCTATATATGTGCACATATGAATTCCTATTGTCTAGCAGGCAGCTTTCTAATTCTATACTGTTCATAGACAGATTGCTGGGGTAAATAGGTTACTATGGCTTTCATTTTGTATCTGTCATCAGGAATGATGAAAAATTATCAGTGTGCACATGTGACTGATTGTATGTGACCTGGAAGGCATAATGCACACACACACACAAATCCCGCAGATGCATTTTGTGGTAGCAAAGTGTGTGAATCCTTTACATCAGTTTTGCTGCAAATTCTCTTTAACTTTGGTTATATATAAGCTCACTGTATAATGGGTGCAGTGAGGCAGGCCAACTCATTTCGGAGTTCCATTAAAAGGCAGAAAACCATCAAATATTTATCAGCACATCTCATCTTTTTCATCTCAAAAGTTTCCAGGCCTACCTATTAGGGATGGTAGCCAATGCATATTTTTTTCCTAAGGAGCTTGTCTTGGGAGTGTAGAAAGATGCTTTATACTCAGTCAGACCCACTGGCCAATCTAGTTCAGTACTGTGTATTCTGACTGGCAGCTTTCTATGTGTAGACCCAATGCTGTCTTCTGTATTTCCCGAGAGAGAGAGAGAAAGGCAACAGCTCCTCTCTGGAGCTGGCGCAACTTGCATATAACCACTCCAGTCACACCTGCAGCCACTCCTGTGGATTACTCTGTGCTGAGAAACCTGGCGCCTTTCAGATGCGTTTGGACTAAATCCCGCAGTATCCCTGACTGGCTGGGGATGTTGGGCGTTGGAAGTCCAGCAACATCTGGAGGGCAACACACTGACTACCTCTGCTTTACACTCGACGCTCTCTATTTGGGTAAAGCGCTGGATACGACGTGCCCAGTAGCAGCCTATGCTTCAGTTGCCCTTGCCCAGAGAGAGGGCTCAGCAGCTCGTTGGCCCCAGAGTCCCCAATGGTCGGTCCCAACACGCCCTCCTGTGTCGCTCGGGCCCCCAGAACTTGCTCACCCGACCCGCTTTCCCCTTTGGTCGCTCTTCCTGACATGCTCGGACGGCACTGCCGGCCACGCAGCTTTCCTACGGGATGCGCTCTCGCGCTGCATGGAATGGGCGGGGGAGAGGCGTGATCCCGCGCCTGCGCGTTTCTTGGCGGAACTGAGAGCCGAGGCACCAGCAGCCGGCGGCCCGCTGTTGCCGGTGCACCTCGGTGCCTTGCAGTTGGCCGGGTTGTCGGTTTCTTGCTGGTAGCCGCTGCCGAGGAAAGGCGGGGCGGGCGGGGGCGCGTTTTTATTACGGGAAGCAGTCTGTCGGAGGATACTTCCCTCATAGCTGCCGGGGGCGAGGAGGGGTTTGTGTGGGCGCCGCTGCCTAGGCTTACCCTGGTCTCCCAGCAACCGGCCGTTATATCCTAGCCCGGGCTCTGGCCTAACGGGCTCCGGTGGTTGCTGCTCGGGAACCGGAGCGGACCCAGGAGCGTCTTTCCAGCAGGTGGCTGGCTGGGAGTCGCCCCCCCCCCCGCCCAGGTTCTTAAATGTGGCCGGGGCGGAGGGAGGAGCTCAGCGCCTCCGGCCAAAGCTCCAGGGAAGCTTGGCAAAGACGTGTGGGGGAGGGGGAGGGGGAGGGGGAGGAGCTGGCTTTAATTCAAAAGCTTTGTGGCACCTTAGCAGCTCAAATTTATGCTGCCGTAAATGTCTGAAAGGTGCCCCGAGATCCACCATGCCGGGGTGGGAGCGTGTTTTGTGCAATAGACTAAATGCCATTACCCTGTCGAGTTTGGCTTGCCATGGTGGGTTGAAGGACGGTGGTTACATACAGACCAGCATTGCTGGGCATAACCCATACAGGATATTATGCAGGAAAGGGGTAGCAAAGTTGGAGTAGATGAGGAATTGTTTAAAAAGGATATCCATGTGCATGAATATAGGTGTTTGAAAGGTCCTTTAAAAGCTGTGCTGTACTTTACGGATGACAAACCTCCAGCTTATTCTCCCCCCCCCCCCCCTTGATGGGTTCCTTGCCTTTAACTATTGCGAGACTTGCAGAAATTTAAGAGTTACAAATGCTTTCATTGCACTTTCTTGCTGGACAATGTTCCATTGATGAATGTTTCTCTGTCCAGTTAAAGGCAGTGGACTTCAGAGACAGTAGACCTATAGACACTATGAGAGGGAAGCAGCTGTGAAGGGGTTGGAAAGTTGATGGGTTATTTATTAAAATCCGAGCCAATGATTTTTGCTTGTTACACATTTCTTTTACCTTCTCATACAGGATTTGCATAACATTCACCCTGCCTGTTCAAAGAGCACTGAAGAAAAATGAAGACTGGAATTATCTGATAAGATTCTCAACATCACACCTTGCTAGAGATCTGTATCACTTCCACCTCCTAGCAGGGTTGAGGGATAAGGAAATATTTAACGTGAGAACTTTGCTTTCACTCTTACTGTTGATTCTTCATTCAAATCCCTAGTACTATTTTTATTTTATTATTATTATTATTATTATTATTTTTTGCTGTTAGATGCCTGAGTGTTAACCATCATAAGTAAGTAAAAGGTAAGCTGCCTTAATGCTGAGGCAGATCATTGGCCCATCGACTTCAGTGTTGTCTACACTGAGTGATCGCAGGTCTCCAGGATTTCAGACGGGTCACTTCCAATCCTACCTAGGAGATGCTGCAGATTGAATCTGGGACCTTCTGCATTCAAAACATATGCTCTGTGATAAAGAACATTGCTTTGATCCTATCATTACAATCAGCTCTACTCCTAACACGCTAATGAACTGCTGTCTCTGGCCAGTTATTTAGGTAGTTGAGAGTAAGTGATGACCACTTCTTAGTATAGGATTTTCACAGTTCTTAAGAGCAGTGTTTCCCAACCTTGTGCCTCCAGCTGTTTTTTGAACTACAACTCCCATCATCCCTGACTAGCAAGACCAGTGGCAAGGGATGATGGGAATTGTAGTCCAAAAACAGCTGGAGGCACAAGGTTGGGAAACACTGCTTAAGAGTACGTATGTGTTTATGAATGACACCAATCTGCATGAAAGGGCACTTGGAAGAGGTCAGTCAGTCACTGGAGAACCATATGTTGGCTGGCCTCCATTTGAAGCATGCTTAAATTTACTCTATTGCATGTTATATTTAGCGACAGAGACCCAGATGAACTTAATGCTCTTTCCTGCCATTTCCTGCATAATTTGTACCATAAATACTTGTTACATAGTGGCTGTAACCTCTTAGATACTTGAAGTAGGAACCTGACAAGATAAATGCATTGGAGTAAGAGTTAAACCCAAACTTACAAGCTGATCCTATGCTTTTCTACTTGGAAGTAAGTTACATTGTGTTCAGTAGAACTGACTCCACACTTAATGTGCATTGAATTGCAACCTCAGCCATCCTAGCAGCCAGGAATTGACTACAGTAAATAATGGTATATGATATTGAGTACACATATAAGAGCTGAATCAAACACACCAACAATTTTGGAACACACAGCCCAGATAACTTTATTTTTCTTTCCATTTTACAACAGTCTGGTGTTCCCAGAATGGACTGCTCTAGTTCTTACTCAGGGGAAGATGGTGGGCAGACCACATCTCAAAGCCACAGTGGTGAAGATGAGCGACAGTGGCAACAGGAACGCCTTAATAGAGAGGAAGCCTATTACCAATTTATTAATGAGCTCAGTGATGAAGACTACAGGTTAATGAGAGATCACAACCTTCTGGGGACTCCAGGTGAGACTTGACTTCTGGTACTTAAAATCTAATAGAATTATTACACTTAATACAGCTTTACCGTTAACATAATACAAATTGAATACAGCTTTTTTAATCCACCATTTTGAAACACTATAATAAACTTGGTATGAAGCAATGGGTAGATAAACATAATTATGGGTAGAATTTGTTCCTCGTGTGCTTTGGAAACATAGAAATTCTTTTTTAAAATGTGCATTGCAAGTTAGGTCCTTGTTCTTTCGTCTTTTAGCTCACAATGAAGTCTAGGTTCATGCAAAACAGAGGAAACACAAAATATTAGATTTCAGTTTCTTAAACTTGATTCTAGAATCATTACATTTTGGTCAGTGCTAGGCACAGCAATCCAAACCCCTGATCTGCACTGTTAAATGGGTTTAGAGGAAGAGGTGTCCCACTACTGGGCTTTATTGGTGCATGGGGTCACCACTGCAGCCATACCCCCCAGCCCAATTGCTGAAAGTGTGGTGGAGTGCATACTGCTGCCTGTGAAAACCATTGTAAAGGCCCATTACATTAGATACATTATAGTGGCAGAGAAGGGCCAGCAATGGATCTGCTGAATCCAAAGCCAGGCCACTTCCTAAAGAAGGGCCTAATCAGGGTCTCTTTACTGTGCCAGCCTGAAACTATAGCAGCAAAAATGTTTAGAAAACCACCACTGCCACCTTCTGCTCTGGCCAGCACAAGTGGCAGGGCTTTGGATGTTACTCCCAGCCAGTGTTTTGGATTGCTGTATCAAAACTGCATTGTCAAAATGTAGAACCTTGTGTCTAGTGCGTGCTTATAATTCTGCTTCTGTAGTCTGGTCATGCCAGGTTAACTCCTATGTTGCTTTTATTAGTTAAAAATAGGAATAGCTGCTCTGTTTGCTTCTATGTCTTCAACCAGTATCTGAACCAATAAATAAACTGGTCATATTGCTATCTGTTTCAGGAGAAATAACAGCAAATGAGCTGCAGCAACGTTTGCTAGGTGCAAAGGAGCATTTGGCATCACATTCTGACAGAGAAAATAGAGACTGGGAAGGAGGTACTGTCGGAGGTAAGCTTTCGTTTTAATATAGTAATCTCTTGATTAACTTCTGGCAGGTGCAGGCTCTTTAGATACCTTAGCAAAATTAGTATTTGTTAAAATCAGCAGCCAGCAAACCCTGTTGCAATGACCTTGTCCAAGGAAAGGAAGGTAAACAGCTGGAGAAAGGGTAGTAGTACAGAGCTGCTGCATGGGAGTTAAGGAAAACTAGAGCAGGATTTATAGGCAAGAGAGTCTATGCTCTGTGGCTGCATATAGTGCACTTCACAGAGAGGTGAGGGCAGTGTTTAATATAAGGACAAGGAAAGAGACCTGCAGGAAATCAGACTTATGGCGAGTAAAGCTATCTCTGCTTTTTGTATCAAGATGTTGTTTAATCCTGTGAAAGGAGGAAACTCCACTTGATTGCTGAGAAGTGAAAGGCACAAAGGCGCTATGCTTCTGCTGAGTAGTGCAAATATTTTTGGCTACTTATTCAAGATGCAATCAGTGGCCTTTTGCTGTCATTATATGAAAACACTTTCTACCTGCAGTATTAGATAAAACTAGAATGCGCAGAGTTAGTATACCTTGTTTTAGGCACAACCAGCTTCAGCCTTTACACCCAACTTGGTTGCACAATAATTCTGATAATAAGACCAAAATTGGTTGTTCTTAAGAGTGCCCCTGAAGAAGAATTCAAATTGAAACAGGCTGGACTCACATTCTTCTTTGCACCTGAAAACCTTTCCTATATTTGGTGCTTTCTCACCTTGCTTTCTTATTTTTGGCTGTTCTGGTAGGCAGGAAATAGCACTCTGGACCCTAGCAATGAGGAGGACAGAGATAGATGGGTGAGGAGAAAATAGAGAAGCAATTTCCTTTCTTCCTCTGCTGTGGGCTACTAACTCCAGATACTACTCTCCTCTCCTATGACCTTCCACACAGTTTTCCTATCAATTTTGATGGCTTTCCCACTTGTAACTTGTACATTTATTTGTACCAGATACCACCAGGACAACTTGGACTTCCCTATTTTTGTCAAGGCATGGCTTGCTCTTCCAAAGCTTTTCATTTTTGCTTCCAAGACTGAGACCCAGTTGCACATGTGATTCCCACCCCCCTCAATTTCACCTAGGTTTTGAACCTAGAAACTAGTAGGTGAAATCCCACTAACACAAAACTTTAAAAGAGTTCTGCTTATTTGGAATTTCTAAAAGTGCTCATTCACACGTTACTGAGATCACGTGTCCAAACAGTACACAATATGACTGAAATGTGCACAGTTGTGTATACAGGTGCCCGCACACACAAACAGCTAGGTATAAATTACGTGGCTTGTTTGCTGGGTCTAAATTGTAGCATCAAAGCTATGAAAGATAATTATGTATGCCTCAAATTTCTAGGCTAGCGGAAGCAGAAAATGAAGTATAATTGAGTGGGGACTATAGATTCGGGATGGGAGACAGTTGGTTTTTTTTTTTAAATGAATGGTAGATATAGAGGTTGTACACAGCTCTTAGATACACGAGAAGTTGTGGGGAGACTAGTGCATCAGATTGGGCTTTTCATTGACATCTTTAAGAAGCAAAGAATATAACTCTTCAAACATAGTTGACCTCTGTACTGGGTGGTTGGCTTTTAGATTTCATAGCATTTGTAAGGGAAGCAGAATGAGAGCTCTGTATGTGATAGATGATCATCTGACTGACTGTTCAGGCTAGCATGTATTCCAGGTGTCACGTGACAATTGCAGTTAGCTGCTTTGTCTAAGTGAAGCGAGTCATGAAAAATGTCTTCTTTCTTTTTTTAAAAAAAACTACTTACAGATGCAGAAACTGTTGGGGGAAATTCAACAAACAGCTCGCTGCTAGAGTGGCTGAGCACATTCCACCGTACAGGAAATTCCAGCCATAGTGGACAGAGTGGGAACCAGACTTGGAGGGCTGTAAGTCGAGCAAACCCGAGTAGCGGGGAATTTCGGTTTAGTCTTGAAATAAATATAAATCACGAACATAACAGTGTTGACGCTCCTGGGGAAGAATTGAACGGCTACCTTCTTGGTGATCCCAATGGGAGGCAGGTAGAGAACAGGTCTCTGATAGAAGAGAGTCCCATAGCCAGCCGAACAAGGAGCAGGACATTGAGAGAGACTGTTGGTCGTGCAGTTGCCTCGTCAAGGGCTGGCAATGTTAGTGGCTCAGTGACACAAAATGCTGAAGTAGCAACTCAGTTATTCCCTGGCAGACTCAGAAACAGAAGCTCAGCAGGCCTTGCGGCACACAACAATGTCTTAGATGACAATGAACACAACATTATTAGGCAAAGGAGAATTCACAGAGTCTCGTCGGTGACTGTTCACAGAAGGAGAGCTAGAACTCGGAGGAATGCAAGGCAAAGGCCAGAAGTTTTAAGACTAAGATCAACGTTCAGTAGTCAGTTTCAGTCCCATTTGGAAAGAAGGCAACGTCTGAATGCACAGCAAATTCATAGAAGGTCTGGCCAGGCACAAACAGCCCAGCCGCCTCCTGAGCAAGGTGAGGACCAAGTGCCAACACTGGGCATAACATTGGAAGAGGAGGAATCTACCAGACCCACAACTGCACCTAGAAGACATCCTATTATTACATTAGACCTTCAGGTGAGAAGAATTCGTACTGGAGAAAATAGAGATCAAGACAGCATTGCTACTAGAACTCGTTCGAGAGCAGGCACGGCAGACAACGCAGTCAGTTTTGAAAGCGACAGGGAGGGTTTCCGTCAGACCGTTTCACGATCTGAACATGCGGGCATACGGACGTATGTTAGCACCATACGGATACCCCTGCGTAGGATATCTGAAATTGGGCTCGGGGAATCTTCATCGGCGGCTCTTAGATCAATTCTACGGCAAATTATGACTGGATTTGGAGAGCTAAGCTCCTTAATGGGCACCGAGTCAGATTCCGAAGCTCAGAGGAGTGGTCAGCACTCGGCAGACACGCAGTCAGAACTGTTTAATGTGCACACTCTAAGCAGCATTGGTGAGTTCAGTGAAGCTTCTCTTCGAAGCAGGCCTGCTGAACAAGGCAGCAGAGAATGGCATGGAGAAACCAATGCGACCCAACACTACAATCAAAGTAATGAAGCTCAAGGTAACAGACAGTTTCAAGATGCAAACAGTTTTGTTGAAAGTGGAACGCTTCCCATCCTTCGTCTTGTACCTTACCTTTTATTAGATGAAAGTACTAGTGACCATTTGAGGGGGTTAACCAAAGAACAAATTGACAATCTTTCTACTCGCAATTATGGGCATCCCGGTGCAGAAGAGGGTGAAATAAGCAAGACCTGTAGTGTGTGCATTAATGAATATGTTTCAGGAAACAAGCTAAGGCAGTTGCCATGTATGCATGAGTTCCATTTTCACTGTATTGATCGCTGGCTTTCTGAGAATTCCACTTGCCCAATTTGTCGACAACCTGTAGTAGCTTAACATTACAGGCAGTGGGTAGTTCCTCAAATTTTTGAATCTGTGTACTCCATTGGGAGCCTGGTGGTATTTTACTAACTTTGAATATGAGGAGTGAGTGTGTAAAACAAGTTTGAAATTGGAAGTGACCTTGCTACATGTGGCAGTGAACTTCTCTTCTTAAAAGGCAAGTGTAAGGGTGAAGATCAATCGAATAGGCCTCAATTATATTTTTCTAAAATATTCCCTTATATAAAGCACTTCTGTAATATAGAAACGTAATTGTTTGTGTTAACAGTATGATCTTTATTGAGATTTCAGTTTTTGTGAAGTTGTTGAAATAATCTTTTGTTAACCATTTGCTCTATGAGCGATCCTTTTTTATGTTGCAAAAGTAACTGGAAACCTGGGCATCTGGCAGGAGGTACTTTAAATAGAGTAAGTGTTTTGATTTAAATATGCAGTGGATATTTTTATAGAATACCCTGCCCATTTGGTTTTATTAATTTTATAGACAGTTTTTGCATGTTTTATACATGGCTTACTGTTGCCCATTAACCTTTACAGTGGATGTGGTTCTTGGGGTCGACTGACATTTGCTTCAAAGGACTGACTTATACAGAATGTTTGTTTAGCCATGAGATTACATTAGAGAACTATTAATTTATGTTCGCCAGTTCTACGTTGACCTCAGAACATTGCTTAACGAATACAGAAACCGTACGTTTAGGTTGCTCAACAGACATTTAAGCACATTCCAATTAGTTTTTTTCGAAAACTTTTTTTTTAATTTGATGGTGGAAGAGTGCCATGGATAAGTAACTTGCAAGCAGCAAGCACGATTTATGTTTCGTTTTTGTACATTTTATCATTTTGTTGTAAGACAGTCTCTTCTGCACATGTAATGGAACATGTAATTTTGGACCGTGGAGAGTTTTCTGAGAATCAGATGCCATCACTTGTTAAGGGAAAGATGTATGCTTACTACAAAAATGCAAAGGAAACTGTATACTTGGACCTTAAAGCTTATACCAATACCTGACAAAATAATAAAAGTGCAAGAACAAAACAGATGTGTGACTCATTTGCATATCTCTTAAAAGCTGAGTGAGAAGGAAAATGGCCTCTTTTAAAAATGGAGTCTGCAATGCCTCTTTTCTTTAGCTGTAACCCTCAAACCATTCCAATTCATTGGACCTAGGTTGTAGCAGGCAGTATAAGGAACAGTGCTTCCATTTCTTAAATATTTACATGAATTCTTAGTAACACGTGCAAATATGCACACTTGTAGAGAAGACATGGTTTTATCCAGCTAAATAACAGTGTGCTTGCAGAAGTCATTCAGCACACAACAGAACTTCTCCCTCCCTCATTGCAAAGCTGTAAGACACATCCCATGATGTTGGATAGGTCTCTTGGATCTTGTAAAGAAGTCTTTCAGAGGAGTGGGGGAAGAAATAGGAGTTGCATCAACTTGTGCAGTGTTCCCTAAAGCATTGCACTCATGGAACAACTTGAACTTACCCTCCTCCTCTTTTCTGGTGCAAGTAAGACAGCTAAGAGGTGACATGATGGAAGTGTATAAAATGATGCATGGCTCAGAGAAAGTGCACAAGGGGGGAAATTATCTCTGCATAACACTAGAACTGACTGACATCCAATGAAGCTGAAGATTCAGGAGAGAAAAGAAAGTACGTCTTTACAGAGACCGTAGTTAAACTGGGGAATTCTCTCTTAAGAGGCAGTGGTGGCCAGCAACTTGGAGAATAGACAAATCCATAGAGTAAAAGGCTGTCAACAGCTACTAACCCTAATGAATATGTTCTACCACCACAGTCAAGAGGTGATATGCTTCTATATACCAGTTGCTGGAAACCACAGGGGAGAGTGCTGCTGTGCTTGTGGGTTTCCCATGAACACACTGTGTGAACAGGATGCCATATGGGCCATTGGCCTGATCCAGCAGGACTATTCTTCTGTTATTTATGACTCTGGGATCTATGTCCTTATTTATGAAGATCTGTGTACTGTTAGGTCTGCTGCATCATGAACACAAAGACACTTTCATTAGAAAGTCCCTCCTTGCAACTATTTTTGACACTAATCCATCTCTGAGCTAGATTACTAATAGCTTATCTCTTTGACCTTTACTCTGGATGCTCAGGAAGTGATTCTGCCCCATTGATAGTGTGTCAAGAGTCTTGTTATCCTTACATGCCTCCAACATGGAGTGGGTGGGAGATGGTATTTTTAAATGACCCTAAAATTTCAAATGGTCATGGTGTGTAACTTTGGGCAAATTTAAGACTACCAATGCTGTTCTAATCCGCAACTGGATTTGAGCCAATATAGGTTATGGTCCTAAGCATGGGTCTTTGAAAATTGAATTGCAGTGGAGTACCATTTAATTAAGAGCCACTTTCTTTCAAATAAATACATGTAGAATCACCATCCTAAACACATATACCAACATACTTCAAAAGAAGAAGAGGAGGAGGAGTTTGGACTTGATACCCCACCTTTCACTCCCCTTCAGGAGTCTCAAAGCGGCTAACAATCTCCTTTCCCTTCCTCCCCCACAACAAACACTCTGTGAGGTGAGTGAGGCTGAGAGACTTCAGAGAAGTGTGACTAGCCCAAGGTCACCCAGCAGCTGCATGTGGAGGAGTGGGGAAGTGAAAGCGGTTCACCAGATTACGAGACCACTGCTCTTAACCACTACAGCACACTGGATCCCGTGCATCAGAAGTGGCATCATTCTCATATTGGAGAGACATTACGATGGGTGCCTGTGGATTGAAATGCCTTGCTTTGTTTGCTTATTCAGGGAGTATGCCCTAGGAATGGGTTGTTATTCGCCTTAAATTTAAACCGTTTGGGTTTTATGAATTTTGCATTGGGTGAACTGCAGTTATATAACCCACTCTATTTGGGTGTAAACAAGATATGTAGGACCACTTCTTGCCATGCATAATTTTGCAAACTTATTTTTTTATTAATATTAACATTTGTATACCACTTGATTGTAGAGAACCTCAAAGCAGTTTACAATAAAGATAAAACCATAAAATTATCATTTAAAAATTACAAACTTAATTTAAAACACAGAAATTTAAAACCACAATAGAATAAACTAAAGGAAATTAAAATTCATACTAACATGCTAAACATCTGGCTAGGCTTGTCTGAGTAAGAAAGTCTTAACAGGAGCTGAAAAGAATACAGTGAAGGTGTCCGCCTGATATCAATAGGCAGGGAATGCCAAAGTGCCACTGCCCTAAATGATAAAGTTCTTACAGATGTGGTATGGGCATTATGTGGCACCTGTGAAAGTGCCAATAAACTTTGATCATGTCGCCTCTCACTAACCTTTTGTCTAAAATACAAAGTCCTGAATGCTGCAACCTTTCTTCACAGCGAAGTTGAGCTATATGATTGATTATTTCCGTTGCCCTTTTATGAACCATACATGCCTGGCATGCTTGAAAGTCACAGAATGTTGACTAACTATTGAGGGCAGTGGAAAACTAGGAGTGAAGTAGAATGGAGTGGCAGCTTTCTAAACTGTAGCATTTTGCAGCAGGGTGCGGTTGTCATGCCTAAATCAGAGAGATAAGCCTGTTGTGCAATGCTATTCCATGTTGCATTCAAAAATGTTGGCATTAAGCATAGAAGCACTGCTGTGGAATATGCTGCTTGAATCATTACAAGGGTGGAGGAAATGTGAATAAACCTAGATGATAATCCAAGTACTGATCAAGAAATAATTCACATCTGATTGCTTTGAACACTGCAGAGCTAGCCATGGTGCTGAAATGCCTGTTTTCTTTGCTCCCTCGAACTGTGTATAAGCTGAAGCAGTCCAACAAACCCATTTGATAACTTACAAAGACAATTACAAGGTCACTCCACTGCTCTACTCATTATAGTCAAAGTCAAGTCAAAATCTTTACCAAAGACATTCTCATAGTTTTATACTTTTCCACATATAGCAGCTAAGTAGTGTGTCATATGCACAAGTGATTTTGAAATATACCCTTGTAGACAGAGATAGAGTTACAATTTTGAGCTTCAAAACTCATAGAATAGCCCTACGTAAGAGTCTGAGCACTGGTTCAAATTACTATTACTACTTGGCATCCATTTGTCTTGAGAGACAATGAAGCCAAACCACTGCATCAACAGCACCAAAATAACCTCCTCAGGGCACAAGCTGCCCAGACAAACCTCCCTCTTGGTCCAAAGGAAGACAGAACAAGAGCAATACATTCGACCTCAGCCTGGCTGCAGGAGTTGTCGGAAGGAGGCTTAACAAGGCACCATCCAGCCATTTTAGGGACTCCATTCCAGAGTTGTGTAGGGTGTACTCCTTGTCTTTTCTTCTCCCAAAGATATCCCTCATGGCAGCAGAAGTTTAGGATCAGAGTTTTCCTTATTTGTAGAGTTTCCCTCTACAGCACATGCAGAAACCACCTTTTTGACCATTGAATCCACTATTGGCCTCATCCACTCAAGTTGCTGCAGCCTGTTTTCACATGGAGGGGAAGTCCCTAACTCATCAAGGGCTACCTTAATCTGGTTTGGCTGGCCAGTCGAAGCCATTTCCTGGGATGTGGTAGCTGTTGCATGCTGACAGCTTCTAGGAGCCACAGGTGAGAGCCCTCTAAAGTAACTCTGCTGACTGAAATGTGCATGAACTTACTACTTTATGGGTTTTTTACATGATTGTTTTCAATGTTTTATTCTGACGGTCTGTTGGGTTATGTGCATGGAACCCTGGTCTCCTTTGGGAGAAACGGTAACAAATAAATGTTGCTTCCAGACTGCATAACAGATCGTATACCTGAACAAACTAGAAGTCTGGGTCAAATAATGCAAAAGCCTTGTTTAAAAAATGGAAGAGGAAGAACGACCAATCAGGGCTTTGTTCCAAAGCCATATTGTAAATAAATCTCTCCAATGTCCCCAAAGATGTTCTTATGGAATCTCTGGATATCTTACTGCCACTTGACATAGGTAATCATACTGTTTATGGAATACCAATACAGCTACACTTTTTTAAAGAATCAATACTGTCTTTATAGATACATTCGATGTGGGAATTGAAGAGCAGCTGGCTGGTGAGATTCCTAGTCTAGACAAGACCGTTTACTGGTGTTCTTCTTATTTAATGTTTACGTTAACAATCAGTTCTTTGAGTCCCAGCAAGCAGTATAGTTCCTGATGTCAATTTCATTTTACGAACAGTCCATTAGTTATTTATGTAACTATTTATTTGTTTATTTTGTTGGCATCCGTCTGTCTCAAGAGACAATGGAAGAGTGTGCCATTGGAGAGTTACAGTGCCTGCTGTGGCTGTAGAGACCAATTGCTACCACTGTAATTAACCTTTTTAGTGAAACAATAAATCTAATTTGTATCACTGCATGAGTATTTTCTTAGTTTTCCACAAACATGAAGTGGAGAGATAGCCCACCGGTCTGCAGAGGGGGAAAAACCCACTTATGATCCACCCACCAGCATCCCCTCTCCCCTTCCCCCGTCACAAATGATATATCAGTCCCTCAGACCGCCTTGCTCCAGCAAAGGAGCAATTGGGAGCTCAATTTAAAGCTCCTGGTTGTTCCCTTCTTTCCATGTGGACACCTGCCCTACATCCGATGTGTCATATGGCATCAGGTGTGAGGCAGGTGGGCATGGTTTACAAGGAGAAATCACCCTTCTTGCTGATGCTGCTGACTGAACCTGGGCCCTTCTGCCTGCCAAGCAGGTGCTCTACACCTGAGCTAGAGCTCTTCCCTGCAGCTAGAAATAAAACAAAAATGCCATAAATCACCAGCAGCAGCTACCAGTCAACAGAAACACAGCAACTGTGCTGGCACTGTGAGTGGATGGGCTCCTGCTGACTGAAACCAGAGACAATTCACCTTTTTTGAGCATCTGGAAGCCAGAACCTTTGTGTTCTCCTTTTGTATTATGTTGTGAACCGCCCTGTGATCTTCGGAAGAGCAGTGTACAGATTTAATAAATAAAATTTAAGAATGCCTCAAAAAACATTTAGTTTAGGCTCTTTACCAGCCATAGGATTATTATTATTTATTGAATTTATATACCGCCCTATACCTGGAGGTCTCAGGGCAGTTCACACAACAAAATCAAAATATAAAAACACAGAATATATAATCAATATAAAAACAACCATCGAATAACACCCCTCCACAAAAAAACCCATTTTGAAAGGGCAAAGGAGGAGCCAACTCCTAGGGGCCGAGGACCCTTCAGCCCCCCCCCCCAAATATTTGAGGGAGCCCCCACCCAAGTTGATGGGTAGTATTGCCATTCAAATGTGTGGGCACTGCGTCTTCTGATCTATTAGCTAGCAACATTTTATTCAGGTTGGCATCCCTGCTGGAGACAATTCGCTCTTTGACCATCTAAGGGCCAGAACTTTTGTGTTCTTCTTTTGAATTATTTCTGTTGCGAACCGCCCTGTGACCTTCGGATGAAGGGCAGAGTAGGACTTTAATAAATTATATATATTCACAAAACATGGTTTGGCCAGCGGCTGCTCTTCGCCTCTTGCCGGACACGACCTGCCCCCGCCGCCACTACCCGCAGCACGGGCACGACTCCCGCACCAAAGGCCGCGCTTCCCACGTGCAGCGGGCGCGTTTCCCGCCAAACTCCCGGCCTCGCGCTGGAGGCTGCTGATGAGGCACGTGCGCCCTGGTGGCCGGAGCGGAGACCTTGCTCTGCAGCTGACGGGAGGTTGCGGCGAGTCGGCGCGTGCCGCGAGGACCCCCCCCCCCCGCCCCAGACCTCCTCTTCCATTCGGCCAGGCCCCCTCTCTCTCCCCCCGCAGAGGTGGCTGGCGCGGCCCTATAACTCCCGCTCGCCCCCCTCCCTCCTCGCCCTTCGCAGCGCCGCAGCGGAGAGCCCAGGCCAAGCAGCTCCCTCAAGGAGCGAGGCCAAAGCGCCCGCCAGCCGCAGGGGAGGCGTCGCCGCCGCCGCGTACGCGCGGGAGAGGGCTGCGCGCGCGAGGCAGCGAGCAGCCAGGAGTGGAAGGCGGGGTCGTCACGGCCGCAGCCTCCGCCTCTCCTGCTGCTTCTGCCGCAGCCCTAGGCGGCCGCCGGGCTCGTCTCCCGCCTCTGCCTGGGCGCTGCTGAGCCGCGGCGCGCCAGGCTGCTGCAGCATGCCGAACCCCAGCGGCCTCGACAAGGCGCTGAAGATGTCCTTGCAGAGGAAAACCAAGATCCACTCGGCCGCTGGTAAGGGGTGGTGGTGGGAGGTCGGGGGGTGCGAAGCGGAGGGAGGGAGAAGCGCCCCCGGAGCCCCCCACTCCTCCTCCTCCTCCGCGTCTTTATTATCCCCGCGCCGCTGCATCCACTGCGCAGCAGCAGCAAGCCCTTGCCTCTCGCTTCTTCGCCGCGCGAGCTTTCCATTTCATATTTATATCGATAGAGAGAAAGCGCGAGGCTCATTCCATGCATATTTCATGGCGACCGGGTTGGGGATTCGTGACATCATTCACCTTCCTGCCCGCCTGGTTGGATGAGGTCAGGCCAGGGCATTCTTGGGGGGGGGGGACGGAATCAAAAGAGCTGCCCGGCCAGCCGGCTCTTCGGAAAGGGAGATGGTATGATGGGCGGCAGAGGGAGGGGAAAGGGTCATTTGCCAATCTGCTCCGGATCGATCGGTTTCCAGTTTCGCTTTTAGCGTCCTCCAGGGAGAGGGAGGGTTCTGCTGGTGGCTTGGCCTGATGCCGGATTGACCCTTGCCAACCGGCCCGGGGATTTTCGCTGCAGTGCGCGCTCGTGCGTTTTAAAACACCCGGCTCGTTTGCGCTTTTTTTTAAATGTCTTGCGCTTGCCTGCCGCTCTGGCCGGTTCGCAAATTGAATAAAATGCGAAACCTGTCAATTTGTCAGTCAGCAGCAGCAAAGCCTGCACTGACCGGCGGAGAGATTAGCATAAACCAGCATAAACCCACCAGTGCGCTGTTTTGGGCATATAACTAGTGCACCCGGTGATCCATCTCCTTCCGGATGTAAACATTAGATTCAGAGTAGGGATTTTCCTCCAGACCTGCAGCAGTGGGAAAGGTGGTTAAATTATCCTGCTCTCCTGCTCTGATCCCAGTAATTATACACATAATCTGCATTAAAACATGCACAACCTTGCACACTAAATGCAAAAATGAATATACGCAAATACAGATCATAGGTCAATGTCACATCTAGTTCAGCAGTCACATATGCACATATAGATCAATGAGCACTATCTATTCTAAGGACAGATGGCCTAATTTCGTGGATGTGGGTATGGGTGTGTGGGTGTGTTTATGATGGCCTGTATCCTAAATTGTGTGTGTATGCGCACACAATACCATTGCTCTCTGTCTGAGGCAATTGATGACCAGGCATTTGATGACGTTTGTGCTCCTTCATCCAGACTACAACCTGTGCATCCCGTGACTTCTGCCTTGCTAATAAGTCCAAATTCAGTTCTCCACATTTTTGTACCAGTTTGCAACTTATTTATTTCAGCAAAGGCCTCATAAAGATTCATCATATTAATGTGATTTTCTCCTGATATGCAAGTCTTAGCGGTATGCAATTTTTTCTAATGTGCACAGTTTTGCAAATTAATTCTCCCCAATGTAATGCACTTTTAAATGTTACTTTCACAGATGATAGATAGATAGTATGCATTTCTTGGCTGGAGAACTGCAATTGCAAAATCCGGAGAAGTGTGGATTTTGAAGGGTGGTTGTGTTTTGGTTCATATGTTGTTCTGGAAAGTGAAAATTAGGTAGGTTTGCCTTTCAGTGCAAGCTGAATCGAGTTTCTCTCTCATTCCCAGTAGTCTCTCTGTGAACATTCTACTCCTGGACGTGTTGGTGAAGAGATACTGAAGCTCATCTAATAGAACTTGCTCCTTCCTTCCTTTCCATCTTTCTCCTGGATGGTTTTAATTTTACTTTAGATCAGCTCTGATTTTGATCTAAGCCATGGCAGTGTGCATGTGTGTGTGTTTATCCTTTTCCCGGGTCCTCTGCTTTCTCCACCCTGGACCACAGGTTCTCCATCTTTGGCTTGGGTGGTGCTGGACATCTCTGTCCTGCCATGCTATGCTGCAGCTCCCCGTTCCCCCAGAAACTGCGGCCTGAAGCAGCCACCTCACTCTGCCTAACTGTAGGGCTGGCCCTAGGTTGCTTTGTTGCATTTTGGGGTTGGGAGGCAGCAAATTCAGATGCCTCCCCACCCACATACTGAACACAGAACACAATCCTTTGGGCGGTTATCATGTATGAGGCCAATGGAAATGGATATGAGATGCAAGAGCCCATTAACATTCTTGTGCAGCTCCTATTCATTTCGCAGGGATCTTTGGAGAAGAATTTTCCAACATGCCCGATGTTAGCTGAAAGTGGTCTGTTTCTGTTTCAGACAATAAAAGCCTGCATCTATTGCCTTTCGTGGCATCCAAAAGATGCCAACAGAAGGGGTTACCTCACCTTGCCTTGTGGTAAGACTCCCTTTGCCAGTACTCCCACCACAGTTTAAGAAATTAGAACTTAAGTGGAAATGCCAGGGTAATACTAAGGGTGTGGAACATCAGACTCGGGGGCCAAATGTACCCCTCCAACCTCCTCCATATGGCCCTCGTACCTCTCTCCAGGCCATACCCCTAACTGGCTCTGCTTCACACCCCACATGTTTTTGCCTGGCTGGAATATGTCCCTGAAACCTAGACAATGCCTCTTGCTTGTCTGGATGGAGACTAGACAGCTGTGTGTGTGTAGGAACCGCATCATGTACTAAGGTAGAGCTTACATTGGTTGCCCTGCCTACTTCTGCCTCTGGTCCCATCCACCACTGGCATGTGGCCCCTATAAAGTTGCCCCAAAAGTGAATGTGGCCCTCAGCCTGAAAAAAGATTCACCACCTTGGATACCTTGGATTTTATACGCATCAAGCATGTGTTCTGCCACAGACTTTCGTTCCTCTTATGCTTTTGAACATCACTCATCTAGCTTGCATCTTGCCCCCAGGTCACATTTCAGGAGCTTACGGGTAGCACCCAAAATATATTGGCAGTGGAGGTGTTGCAGGCAGGAGATTAGAGAGAAGATATGAGGTTCCTAGGAGGTGTGCTCCTCTCTAGGGTTGACGCAAGGAAGCACAGTGAATCAGCCTGGGTTTGTTTAACACATGCATTTGGGAGAGTTTTCTCATGAAATATATTTCGGGGAAGCACAGTCTGCTAAGGGCATCTGTTCACTACTTGCATCTGCAAAGTCATTTGAAAAACACTGCTGTACCTGCATTGAAACTTGCTGTTGCGTCGGGTCAGTGCCCATACTGTTTAGTATCTGTTCTGGGGAATGACAGAAATTTCTCTCCTCCCTAGTTCCGGAATTTGGCTGTGTCCATGAAACCTATGTTGGGCTACATGTCTTTTAATGCTTCTTTTAATGACTTGTTCCTTAGCTGTTCCTTGCAATTCTTTGATGAAACTCCTAGGTACTTGTTCAGACAGTGGACTAATGTAAAGAAGTACTCCCTTTTACTAAAATCACACCACTGGTCTTTGCTACCCAGTATTCTTTAGCCTGCCTGGCAGCTGCTAAAGGGATTTTTCACTGAAGTTTGAACCTAGCGTTTGAAACAATGAATGCCCTCTACCACTGAGATTTAGTCCTTGCTTATACAGTGGTGCAGCTTAGGCTGGATTTGGAATCAAAATCCTGGCCCCATAAACCCAGCCCCATTGGCAGATGACCACCCAGAGAGCAGCAGGTGATTGGGGGGGGGGGTCCTACTGGGGCTGGCATCAATTGCCAATGCAATTGCCAATTTTCTTTTTAAAAAAAATACATTTTATACCAGGGGAAAGACTAACCAGCCATGTGCATGGTTACATATCAAATGCTCATCATCTTACTATTTTTACTTTAAAAACATACCCTTTTCTAAAACACAATGCTGCATATTCCCAAGTAAATGTGTTTAACACAGGTTTCTCAACCTCGGCCCTCCAAATGTTTTGAGACTACAGTTCCCATCATCCCTGACCACTGGTCCTGCTAGCTAGGGATCATGGGAGTTGTAGGCCAAAAACATCTGGAGGGCTGAGGCTGAGGAAGCCTGGTTTAACAGGAACAAAGCTCCTGTTTTATTCCAGTAATCATGACAATGCTGTGATGTAAAATGTGAAGGATCTGAGGCAGCTGGTCACTTCCTCGTAGGCCACTGCCGCTCGCTTCCATGGTTCCACTGTCTGTCCTCAGGGTCATTTGGCAGCCTCCTGGAATGTGTGGGGGCCCAAACCTATGCCCTGATGGCATGTCTGATACATTACTTAATTCTGCTGACTCTTCCTCTTTCAATTGCTATATTTTTGGTGATTGCGGTTTTTAAATTTTTTATCTTTGCTGGCTTCCTTGAGCGTTTCAGTTTTCAAAGCAGAAATGTTTCAGATAAGCAGATTTCAGACCAGAGCTGGCCCAGCAATAGAGGCAGGCTAGGCAACTGCCTAGGTTGCAAAAATTTCAGAGGTGCTTAGGAGTACATTCAGGTGGAGGGAGTATTGTGTAAGCTAGCATTTCTGTCCCATTTTCTGATGTCCCTTTCACACGGCAGTACCTGCTCTGTTATGAACAGAGGCTTTCTGGCTGACGTTCTGGCAGGTTGCAGCACTGAATATCATTCACATCAGTAGGTGTGGTGTGACACAGCAATGAACATCATTGCACAACATTGCTACTCTCCCACCTTGCCTCACATGCATGCTCCCCCCCCCCCCCGTGATTCCCCCATGAACCATTACATGTTATGGGCCAGTTTCAACTAAGTAGGTGCGCTAGCTGGAACCAGCCGTTGTGTGATGGGCCAGGAGTCGGCTTCACCTGCTGAGCAGCAACCTGAAGGAGCAGAAGGCAAAGTCACTCCACCTGCTGATGATCAGGAGCTTTCTTGCTCCCGATGAGAACCAGCTGGCTCCAACATCCTTAAGCAGGGTTTCTAGCCTCAGTCATTTGCTGGAAACAACATTTGTGATTCTTGACCAAACCTTGCTGCTTCTTGCCTCTCGTGACCTTGGACCCTCGGCTTTCTTGACCCCTGGATTGTCTGACTAGGTGAACTGAGATACTCCTGACTTTAGGACTGAACTGGACCTTGTATATGAACTCTGCCTCCAGGCAAGTACCCCCCCCCTGAAACTTGGCTGGTTGGCTGGTTTCTCCCTCCATTGAGCTCTGCTGT